GCAGCCACTTCATCTGACTGTTATCTGCAGCCACTTCATCTGACTGTTATCTGCAGTTCGGCGGTTCAAATCTCACCGGCTCAAGGTTGACTCAGCCTTCCATCCTTCCGAGGTGGGTAAAATGAGGACCCAGACTGTGGGGGCAATTTGCTGACTCTGTAAACCGCTTAGAGAGGGCTGAAAGCCCTATGAAGCGGTATATAAGTCTAACTGCTATTGCTATTGCTATATTAGAGAGGCATCTTTTCAAAATAAAACTGGGGGATGGAAAACCAACCCCGTTGCTTCATTTAGAACTGGACTCTACCAGATGTTTCTCTTCTAGAAGGGGATGCAACTGGTGGTCAGCCAAAAAGAGATAAAAATTCTTCCATGCCGCAGATGTTACGTGGCTGTTCAGCGTCAATGAAGGAGGCCCAGCCCATTTCAAAGCTCTCCGTCATTTTTGCAGGAAAATATATACAGTCAGGCATATCCTTAAAAGATGCCCAACTATCTCAGATACTCCAGATGACAATAGAGAAAATTAGGAAAGGTTCTTCGAAAGACTCCGGTTCTATTTTAATTGGAAAAATAAATTGGCTTTTTTTTTAAAGAGTGGTGGGAGGAGAAACGGCTCCCTCTACTGGATTTAAGTGGAATAGATACTGTACTAAACAATAAAATAATTTTCTTTAGCAGCAGGAGAAAGGAAAGGATTCCAGAAAGAAAGAAAAAAGAGACTCGTATAGCCTTACCTTTTGGGAGCAAGCATTTAGTAAAAGACTAAAAATCAGCACAAATTTCTCGAGAGCAAGAATTGCCTTAAAAACAGTGCTTCTCAACCTTGGGCAACTTGAAGCTGTGTGGATTTTAACTCCCAGAATTCCCCAGCCAGCAGGCAGGGTTGAGAAACACTGCCTGAGATAATTAAAGGCCAGGGTTTTTACATTTTACACTGGTTTAGGTTAATTGTTGTGGCCAGCCAACAGTGGCAGCAGATTCGGACAGTGAGGAGGTTGGGGAAGAACATGGACTGGAGTCTGGGGAGGGCTCAGACGAGGGCTCTGTGTCGGAGGCAGAGAGGGGGCCAAGGCCGTCCAACAGTTATCAGCTACCTTCAGAGTCGGAGATCAGTGGGGCAGAAGAACAGCTGGAGCCTGTTCCCAGTGTGCGCATGCGCAGAGCTGCCAGGAAAAGGGAACAGCTAAGGAACAGGGGTCAACTCAGGAGTAAAGGCACAGGTGGACGGTGAATGGCCCCTCCCAGAGGGAATAAAGAGGAGCGAAAGGGGAGTGGAGTTTGCAGGAGGCAATTAGTTCAATTCATTAGGGTGAAGATCTCTTCCTGACTTCTTGCCAAGGAATTGCTGCTACAGCATGGAGTTTGGAAGAGATCAGCCTGGCAGCTCTCCAAGCCCGATAAAGGTCTGTAGTGGTGAAATCTCTTGAAAGACTGTTTGCCGGGACTTTGCTGGAGAGGAATTCCCTTCAACCTAAACAAAAGGGGTGTTATCGGGACGAGGAGTCAGCTTCGTGCTTTTGGGAAGCCTAGGTCAGAACATTAATTCCTTCCCGTAGCAATGATCTCAGAGTTATGGCTTGATGGGGTCAAATATTCTTCATTGTGACAAGTTGGGCTGCGTCCTGTGGCCATCACACGTTTCAAATTGTAACGGGTCATATTATTAGGGTCATATGCTCTGAGACAACTTCTTGAACGTCAGAGAACAATAAGAAGGGAAAAGAGAAAAGCATGCTTACCTTTATGTAGCAGTAATAATGTCCAGCGTGACAGCTGAAGCCCGTATGGACTAGCACTGCATAAAGTGCATAAATGATTGGTTCTCCATTGGGTTGAGACATATATGGTCGGATATCTAAATATTCTGGGTATTTCACTTCCTAAAACAGAGACAGAGAGGTGTTTCTGAATTTAAATTCAGAATCCAATTTAAAACACACACAGAGAAAAGCAACCTCATAAATATTAAACTTTTACGCTTATCTCTACAGAGAACACACTGATGTTTATGAAAATGCCACCAAAAGAATAGGATAGAATAGAATAACGAGAGTTGGAAGGGACCTTGGAGGTCTTCTAGTCCAACCCCCTGCTTAGGCAGGAAACCCTACACCACTTCAGACAAATTGTTGTACAACATCCAGTGTTGGAGCATTCATAACTTCCGGAGGCAAGTTGTTCCACTGATTAATTGTTTTAATTGTCAGGAAATTTCTCCTTAGTTCCAAGTTGCTTCCCCCCTTGATTAGTTTCCACCCATTGCTTCTTGTCCTGCCTTCAGATGCTTTGGAGAATAGTTTGACTCCCTCTTCTTTGGGGCAGCCCCTGAGATATTGGAACGCTGCTATCATGTCTCCCCTATTCCTTCTTTTCATCAAACTAGACATACCCAGTTCCTGCAACCGTTCTTCATATGTTTTAGCCTCCAGTCCCCACATCATCTTTGTTGCTCTTCTCTGCACTCTTTCTAGAGCCTCCACATCTGTTTAACATCGTGGCGACCAAAACTGGACGCAGGATTCCAGTGAGTGACCACCGAGCATCTCACAACGGCCCTTCTTCTAACCACTGTTCATTTAACTCAAAACCTTTTAATACAATCCTTTAGCTGGTTTAATTTTCAGCTGGCTGGGGTACTTTCATATATACAGGTAGTCCTCTGCTTACGGCCACAACGGAGCCAAAAATTTCTTTTGCTTAACGATACAGTTGTTAAGTGAGCTCTGCCCCATTTTATGACCTTTCCTGCCACCGTTGTGAAGGGCAATCACCACAATTCTTAAGTTAGCAATACGGTTGTTAAGTGAAGCCAGCTTCCCCATTGATTTTGCTTGTCAGGTGGTCAGAAAAGGGGAATCACGTGACCCCAGGGCACTGCGACCGTCATAAACATGAAGCATCCAAATTTTGACCACAGGGATGCTACAACAGTTGTTCAATGTGATCAACGGTCATAAGTCACTTCCCCCCCTCCACCAAGTGCCATTGTAACTTTGAAACGTCACTAAATGAATCATTGTATAATCCCCGACCTCCGGTCCTTCCGACGCGCCCTAAAAAGTTGGCTTTTCCAGCAAGCCAGCCTGGCCTGAACAAAACAAAATATTGTTAATTTTAATCGAATTTGTTTTTAAAAAAATCTTACTGTTAATCTTAATTGGGTTTGTTTTGGATATTCTATTTAATTTTTTAAAAAACTTTTGTAATATGTGTTTTTTTTAATGTTGTACGCCGCCCTGGGTCCTTGGGAGAAGGGCGGCATATAAATCCAATAAACCAAACCAAACCAAACTAAATGAATCATTGTACGTTGAGGGTCACCTGTATTTCATTTATATTGCTATAGGGCCACGCCATGATTTAAGGAAGATCAGGTCTTACCTTCGTGATTTTGCCACCACTGAAATTTGCAAACCGTTTGAGGGACAAGGTGAGGACATTTGAAGCCCGATGTATCGTAAACCGCTTGGATGCAGGAACCATTTTTTTACACCTGAAACATAAAGGGAGATTTCAGACTTATTTTTTCCTCATCATTTTGGGACGACCGTATTTTTCGGAGTATAAGACCCTCCGAAGTACAAGGTGCACCTAGCTTTTGGGGAGGAAAGCAAGAAAAAAATAAAACTATCTCTCTGCCTCCCAGCAATTTGCCTCCTTGCAGTACGCAGCCTGTTTCCGTTTTAGCACAGCCGAATTAGCACAGTCGAGTCCCGACGATCAGCTGTTTCAGGCTGCAGGGATTGCCATAACCTATTGCCGCCTCCACGCGCCCCATTTTCAGCCTCTGTGCTTCTGATCGGGTGGAAAATGGGGAGCGCAGAGGCTGAAAATGGGATGCGGAGGGCGAAAATGGGGCGCGCGGAGGCAGCAATAGGCAATGGCAATCCCGGCAGCCTGAAACAGCTGATGGTCGGGAGGCCGATCCAACCGACCATCAGCTGCTTGTGCTAATCAGGCTGTTTGCAGTTTGCTGCAAGGAGGCAAATTGCTGGGAGGCAGAGGCCAAAAGGTGAGGGCCGACAGATGGGCAGGGCTACATGCGGTGTATAAGATGCACCCAAACTTTCACCCTCTTTTAGGGGGTGGGGGAAAGTGTGTCTTATACTCTGAAAAATATGGTACTTTCTATTTGGAAATTAAGTGTCTGAAAACGGGTTTAGATGTTCTTTAAAAGACATGAAAGAGAGGTTAAATTATCCCTCTTTTCCTTCCACTCTTAAGACTCGCCCTCCTTCGCTATCTCCAAACTTGGGAACTTTTAAGACTTCTGGATTTCAACTCCCAGAATTCCAGTTGAAGCTGGGGAACTCTGGGGGTTGAAGTCCACCCATCTTAAAGTTGCCAAGTTTGAAAAACAGTGCCCTAGAGATTACTGGGAGGGGAGATCTAGAGATTTTTTTCATTTTTATTTTCCTCGAAGAATGCCCCATGCATTTAAGGAGCAAGCACAGGGCAAAACAGATAGTTATACATGCCATCCCTCGCTAAACATACTATAGCACAGCAAAATCAGTTCGGCATTAAATAGGAGGTTCTATAACCAAGCCAGGTGTAGAAGGGCAATCAATCAATGAATTATAAAACATAGGAATTCTTTTTCTTACTTGCTACATTTATATGCATTTTCTCCATCCAACTGTTCAGGCTTGACAAACTGTTCCAGAGCTTTGTTGACACTTTGAGCTGACTGGAAAAAAACAAACAAACAAACATGGTGACTGGGGGAATTCTGGGAGTCAAAGTCCACACTTCTTAAAATTGTGAAGGTTGAGAAACATTTGGTCTAAGGGTGCAAGGGCTGGGATTAGAGGGACTGTTTTTTTGGGATAGCACCAGGGGTTGAAAAGAATGTCAAGATTTGTTCTTGCAAGCTACTGTGAAAAAAAAAATAGCCTCAGGAACTGAGATCCACAATAAGCTATGTCTTAATTGATGACAAAGTTCTTTGTGGTTGTGGTGATACACGAGACAACAACACATATGGATACTTTGTGTCCTGATCAGTGTACACTTGAGGAGCTCATGGCAGTGTGACAGAACACAATGTTGCTGTTTTGTGGACAAGATCTGTTTATATTGTAAATATTTCAATCTTGTATTCTATATTTTAAATTCTATGTTACATAGTATGCCTTATTTTCATTGTAATGCTTCTCACAAATAAATAGAATAGAAAAGAATAGAATGGAATAAAATAAACAGAGTTGGGAGAGACCTGGTTGTTCCGGCAGGCCTGGGGCTATTGACCCCAAAATACGGTCCAGCCCCATTCAGAATAGAGTGTATGATGTGTTGTATTTTATATCTATTTTTTCTTCTCTGTATCTTATTTTATCTTCTTCTTCTTCTTCTTCTTCTTCTTATTATTATTATT